GTGAGATCAATAGAAAAGGACAAAATTACGGAGAAGAAACTGACAGCAAATAGTCAAGTGGTGGATTTCCTACAACAGAAGTTGCAGGCATCATCTAAACAGTAAGTTACAATAGTTAACTTAATATCATGGGATATACACTACCTGTTACGGTTTTACAAGCAGGTCTCATTCCAAAGTAACTATAATTCATATGGTGACTAATTAAACTTGCATGGATGATGTATTTAGCGATTCACATTTCAAAACTGGCTTTGGTCTGCTGGATCTGACCTTTGTGATTCAGAAGAGAGAACAGGTTGAAGTCTTTGGACCAGGTTCTTTCTTAAATTTGTGTAATCCCTACCTTGACCATGCATGAATGAAGCATTCAGGAATACTCACTTTCAGATTGGCTGTAGAACCTGGTCTTTATTTTCTGGAGCGACCAGGTGAATGATTGTGGAGCAGATTTTTCCAGAGTAATTATAAGCTCTGTAGTGACCAAACTTGATGTTACATGTTATTGTGTATACACACTACCAGACATTACTTGTTTTCAGAGAGCAGTCAGAACCAAACCAGGGCACCCCTTGTAAGAATATAGCAGTCCTGAATTATCCTGAGGCCAACACGTCTAACTACAGCAGCAACATGCTCATCAACTTCAACTTTGTCATCGAGAACGGAAAACTGGCCACAAAATCCAGATATAAATATGAATCTCAGGTAAATTTGAGCTGGATTTTACATTTTGAATTTTTGTGTTTAATTTTTTATTACACCACTTTTCCCACCCCCCTTTCCCCTCCAAAAAAAATTTGCATTGAATTTTTTCAAATGTTATTTATTTTATTTATTTTTTTTTTTTTTTAGATATTTGCCAAAGTGAGTTCTTCCTTTCCCTGGTTGCCAAAAAAATCCATAGAAGTAATTGCTATGGAACTGACAGCACCAGTGCTGAAGTGCATTGTGGCATTCTTAGAGGTAAAAGGGTCTATGTCGTAATCAGAAATTAAACCACAAATTGTGTAAAAATTCGGCAAATTGATGACTGGTACAAATTTATTCAAAACACCACAATTAAATTTTGTAATTTCTTCCAATACCATTTTAATCAATGAACACCATATTTTGATAAAGAATCAAAAGTCTGTGGTCTGAAGTGTTCTATATTCTTAAAATGGATTTATGCTTAATATTTTCATTCCCTATAGTTTTAAAAAAATATGAACTTACCTGATATAACAAGTTAAATTGTTATGAGTCAAAATTTTTCATTCTTCATAACATTTCAGTTTAACAAAAAGCTGATTCCCAATAATCTTTTACAGGTGAATGGCACGGAACAAGAGTTTGAGGACAGCATAGGACTGGTGATAGATAAGTAAGAGAAATTTTATACTGGTACCAAAATATACACCTATCATTTACCATATATACTCGCCTATAAGTCGGTTTTTTGGGAGTTAAATTTTAGCCCAAATCTCTATGTCCCACTTATATGCGAGTCACAAAGATATTGGTATTTTTCTGGAAAGTGAAATGTAGCAGTTTATATACATGTACATATATATCTGATGATTACTGAAGAACAAAGCCTATATATGTATAATAATGTATGCAATCAAAGATTGCATATATAGAAAAAGTATTTACTTACTTTAATATTTTTTTTTTATCTTAAGTGTGCATTAATTAATTTTTTTATCATTTAAAATCAAATATCAGCTTAATTTGGAAAAACAGTAATAAAAACAGCGAAAAAAACATCAATGCATTGATTTGAAATGTCAAAAGATCCCGGCAAAAAGTTGTACTGACTTATAAGCGGGTCAATGAAAAATTCCTCCAAATTCACCTCGAAAAATACAACCGACTTATAGGCAAGTATATATGGTATATTGATAATGACAAGTCAACATCTACAGATTTCCTAAATTTAAAGTACAAATATAGCCCTTTCACAAGGTTGATCAATAGATGTATTGACTTCACAGAAAGCTTATCGACTGAGCACGAAGTAATGCCATATGAACCAATGACACATCTCGTTACAATGTATGAAAATGATATATAAATATCTGATGAATATGTGAATCACTACAGAATATCTCTTAGATTGATATCCTATTCTTTTCTGCAGGCAACAGAGATATCGGAAATACATCCATAAGATATGTGACCAGATTTTCCAGCTGAAATTTGAAAGAAAGTAAGAAAATTCGAGAATTAAAAAAAAGTGTTAATTATGGATAATTTCAGATTGTGTCATATCTAGTATAATGGATAATATTACAGAAATATTAATCTTATAATTTTACACTGTAATGAGCACAGAAAAAAAAATTGCTTACCAGTATATTCAATGTTAAAGAGATGACAAGAGCAACATGTATCATTAATGTGGTTTACTCATTTTGTTTGTAGGTGCAATTATATTGTTTTATATGGACTCAAGGATGACAGTCTTAAACTACTTACCTGAATTCTTCATTTGAGATTACCTTCAGAGGAAAAAAATATAACTAATCACTAATTATTGTGGGGGTCAATTTTTGTTGTTTTCATGGTATGAAAAGATGCACAAATTCATATCCCTTATGAATTTTTTTTTTATTTATACTGTATATTGTTTCTCTTTTAACCATGATTTCAAATTCTCTTGAACAAAAAGAACAAAAAATTTTCAAATTTGCCTCCCTAGAAAAGAAGTGATTTTACTGAATTGTCATTTACAGTACTGTAAAATTATAAATACTGTAGATCTAAATTTCACAACACCTTATTTTCACGAGATAGTCATTAACTCTTGATGAGCGAGACAAAATTTTCACGAATTGTGGTAATTGCTGTATATAATCCTAAAGAATACTATTATACAGGAGAATTAAATTTTTGTGAGCACACTGCCTCGCCTAATTATGCAAAATTAAAGTTCTTGCAAAAAAAAGTGATTTACAGTATATGTGGTGTTAATTTTTTTTTTATTACTTGATAAAGGAAAAGTTGTTTGTATGGATTTGATTTTGTGGTTCAAGAAGTGAAGATTTAAATTAATCTTTATTTTCCTTTTTGTGGAGGATCTGTCTTTGTGGGTTTTGTCATACCTCAAAAAATCAGAAATAAACCCTTACGATATATTCAATATGTGTGAGCCGGTGACTTTTATGATAAAGTGTGGGCAATGTATTGAAATTGGGATACATTGTATATTGATCTTATAAGTGGGATGTTTTAAAAGTAAGGTGGTAAACTAAGTAATGGGCATTATAGTGCAAAAGTTTTCTGTATGCAGTAACAATTAGAATGCTTGGGAGAAATGTCATTAGAGCTAAATAATGTGTTTTCCTGGCTTTTTGGTTTTGTTTGTTTTTTTTTAAGGTATTTATATGTGATGAATGTACATATGAAGCTATATTTATATACATTTTCAAAAAAGCCATTCAACTTATGTTCGATAAAGACCTTTTCATTTCACAAAAGACAGTATATATATTATTTATGTCATGCATTGCTTCATATTTTTTGTTTTTAAAAATGAATTGTGCTGACGCATATTTAATTATTAGTATTACATATGAGTGAAAGTAAACATAGGAATGTTTTGTCTGATTCCATAGAGGTAAACATGTTATAAAATTAATGTGTGCGGTGTCAGTTCAAAATATGTAAATGTTATGTTGTTCATACATATTCATGATTAGCGAAGCACTGCATGAATGTTGTGAATGGATTATCTTTCTTGCAATAAGATTTTCATTACACTAAAGGCTAGCTATTTTGTATGGTTCATTTGCATTGTTGCCAAATAGTTTTAAGTGTGATGCATCTAGAGTAAATGGTATGCAAATAATGAACCAAGTTTGAAATTTAATTAACAAATGTCTTCATTATTCATAAAAATATGTGAAAATGATACTTAAAATGTTCAAAGTTTATGGATTATAATTTGTTGAATATTTTGATGCAAAATATTATGGAATAATTCTGAATAAAAACTATTTTAAAAATCTATTAATGTCTTTAATTTTTGTTTTTTCTTCTTTTTAAAGAATATATTTGCAACTCTTGACTTTTATTGATGAAGTTTTAATTAAAGCACTAATTCATCAAGAAAAAAAAAAATTCTGTGATATTTATTGCAAGGAAAGGTGAATGTGAAATTGATGCTGCAAACAAAATTACATACATGTATGTAATTTATAATACATAGAACTTAAAAACATACCAGAATAGAAAATGGCATCATTCATTGAGCTGGTGTTGATTTGAGGACAAACAATTTGAAATTTTGGTACTCAAGAAATTATATTAATTAAAAATATATAAATTTTAAAAGTCATGCTTGAACAATGGGTACTAGGATTTACTTTATTATACAAAAGATAAAATGATGGTGTAATAAATATAGTCATAATATTACTAGATTATTTATAGCATTTCTAAATTTAGTTTTTTTGTTTGTTTTTATAAACTTTATTTTGTAATTTTTTTTAAATGTCTTGTTATTATGGTGTCCTTAATTATGTTTTTTTTTTTTTTTTTTTTTTTTTGGAAAATAAAAAATATGTAATTATGTATTTTAAAAAAAAACAATTACTTTTTCCAAAGAAAATATAAAAGTACTTTGAATATAAAACACATTTCTTTTCCATTTGGGTTATGGGGGGATTTTTTTTAAAATAAAAAGATTTTAATTATACTTTTAATCATCAAAAACACATAAATGGACAATAATAATTTAAATATCAGACATAAAGTTTTTTGGTTCTGATAAACAATTCAAAATGTATCTTAAAGGAATATAATTTATGGATTTTTTCTGTTGAATTTTTATTTATAGGGATTAAATGTGTACATATATTGAATGAATATTTTCATTGCTAAGTAAAAAAAAGCCTGTATCCTGTACTGACCTTTTCTAAATGATAGAAATGGGACAATTTATGAAGCTTTTAGTATAGGAAAAAATTTCATAGCGTGTGCTTGTGAAGAAATTTTCATAAAAATGTTTTGGCATACCTCTCTCCCCAGGAAAATTGGAGGTCCCTTTAACCTCATTTAAACAAATGGCATACTCTTAAAATTAGAATTTAATTTTGATAGGAACTCAAAATGGGTCAAATATGTATGGACTCCCAACAAAATTCACCTGTGAATGAAAAAATCAAATCACAACCACTGATTTTCATTCACAATTTTGATTTTTCGAACTGATATGAGATAATATCATGAAACTAACAAGAATTTTATGCCAAAGCATTAAATTTACGCTTGAAGCCATTAACATTTATGTATCCTAGTAATGCATTTTAAATGAGTCAGAATAGAAAATTTGCATCATGCAAGGCCACACACAGAACTGATTAGAGAAAAATTCAATGTAAATATCTTTGTTATGAAAATACTTCTATTGACAACTCCCAAGCTCATTAGTAACTCTGAAAAATACATTTGTTTGATTAATTAACTTAAAAGCCATGTCCAAGTGTATATAGTTGGTTAACTGAGAGCAATCCTACAGAAAAAAATGTTGTTACATATAGTATATTTTCATTTATTTACATATTTTTCATTTGTTTATTTTGTGTATGTCTTCGTTTCTCTACCAGTGACCTTGAACTTATTCAAACATTCTAGGGTCAAGAACATGAAAAAACCCTCATTAAATCTTTGACAAGTTTTGATTTCCAACCATCCTCTTTTTAGTTATAGAGTAGATAAGAATTGAGTACATTTTCCGTGTCCTGAACTTGCCCATATGACCTTGGCTAAAAGTCATGACATAACCTTGGGTCAAAAAGCCAATCTACAGGTAGTTAAAATGAGACTTCTTAGATCCGCATGGTATACACTCTGCATAATCTTTTATTGATGCATCAAATCAGTTATAATTTTTTTTTTCAAAAATATGGTCTACACTAAAACTTAACATTTTGTCTGCAAGTGACCTTGAACTTACCCATATGACCTTGAGTCAAAATCACAGCACACCTTCAGGGGATCAATAATATTTTTTTTATTTTTGTTGTTGTTTCTTTGGGTATTTTAGGTACTCTCTGAGATGAACTTAGACAGGAAGCATACTTTTTTTTTTCTGCCACTGACCTTGAACTTCAAAAGACCCCACGTCAAGATCATGACAAATTTCAAGGTCATAGTAATCTGTGTGAAACATGTACTTCCAGTGTTTCTCCTTTGGAAAGTTATGAATCTGTAACAAATTATAGAGGGGGCGTCAACACTTTTAGGCCCCCAGTGGGTCCAGGGAAAAGCCCTGTTGGGGGCCCAGGGGGCAAAGCCCCCGTAAGCCCCTGGATTCTAGAGATTTTGTAGGGTAAAAAACTTACCCATATTTACATGACGAAACTGTGATTTGTTAAATCATGCACCTTCAGTTATAGTATGTAACCAAAAATCCACAACAAATGAAAGTCATGACCTTCAGTTATAGTGGAACATGTAACATGTATACATGATGATCATCCATTATTAGTGATGAAATTTTCAACCATAACTTTTTTTTTTACACTTTAATAATTAAACTTTGCATTGCTTCGAATATGCAGTTTAGTGATTGTAATATAGTGATTTGAAAGAAAAAAAAAATTTTTTTGAAACCCCCAAACTTAGAATTTGTTAAACTTATAAGAATATGAAAAAATGATTTTTTTTATATTAAAAAAAATAGAATAGCTGTCATCAAGACAAATACCCAAATCATAAAATAAAACAAGCAAATTCAAGTCCCTCACTTTTGGTGTCTTAGTGGGTTAGATGCCATTATTTATGGCATATTGTTTTAAATATAGACACCCTAACATATCATTCAAAAGTAATCACCAAAGTTTACTTTTTTGAAAATTAGGTCAAACATGAAGGTGAAGTTCAAGGCAAACATAATAGGATGCCTGAAAAATTTTTGTCACAGAAAATGCACCTGTCAAATATGAAAACGCTATCTCTTCTCAATCAGAAGTTACGAGGAAAAAATAACATTTTTGCAAAGTCTGTCAACTTCACAGTCAAAGTCACAGGGTCAAAAATAAGTATATTTAGAAAGGCCTATAGGTAGTATACATGTAAAATATAAAAGCTCTATCTTTTCTCTTTCAAAAGTTATGACCAATTTAAAGTTATTCTAAAATTTTTGAAAAGTAGGTCAAACTTCAAGGTCATAGGTACAAAAACCATAGCATTTTTGGAACAGTCTTCGCACTGATAATGTTCAAATGAAACATGAAAGCCCCATCTCTTCTCATTATGTTATGACCAAGGTTAAAGTTTTTGCGACAGATGGACAGACTGACAGACACAATACAGCAGGTTAGAAAGAAAACAAAAATCAGAATTAGCATAGTACAACATTTTATTTTTTTATCTTCTGGAATTTTTTTTCTCAAATATGTGACAATCTCATTAAAAATTCCCTAGAACTAAGCATCCAAGCTTTAGCAAACTCCCAACTCACCCCTCAGACACTCACACACAAATAACAGAACACACTCATTGGCCAATCAGATTTTGTTGCTGTATCATGTGATTGTCGTATCCCTGGCAACATACAGCCAAAGGATTGTGGGTAGTCAGCAGTAAATAAAACAATTGAAGAAATTAAAAAAATCTGTGAAACCAAGAATTTTACTTTTTGTATGTACATCATTAATACATGATTTATAAATATTTGTCCATGATTTGAAATATCATAGGAATATTTTTTCTTTGTTTCACATGAAATTGTTTAATCAATTAAATTAATGCAAACTTAAAACTCAACATCAATCAAAAAAATACTAGAAAATAATTTATTATGCAAAAAAAAGTAACAAAAGAGGAAAACGAATACTGTTGAAATGTTGATTTGGCCACACCACAAATATTCTACCAAGTGGCAGCACAAAGAGAAAATGGCAGAGCAGGAGTTTTGATCTTTTTAAAGAAATTACCTTATAATATTCTGATAGGACGAAACAAAAAATACAATCGTGTGTGTTACTTGGCAACAAATCAAATCTTTATTAATACTCAGTTACAAAATAAACAAACAAAACAGGAAAAAAAGAGAGAAAAAAAACAAAAGTAAAACTCCATGACTTGATTCAAGCCTCGCTTTCATTTCATCCATCATTCCCATTCCTAATATACAAGTCCATTATATGCACCAAATACTTCTCCGTTCAAACATGCACCATATTAAATACAAAAAACCATCTAAATGAATAAACTTTCATATTTTTTTTTACAACAGAAATCTAATATTGAGGTAACATTAAAGCTTCAAATTGATTGGCTGTGATGATACTTTCTCTTCTATGTCCCAATTTCTGATTGGTTAATATGTCCCAATTTCTGATTGGTTAATATGGCCACATGTCTGGTCCTTTGATCATTAGCATTTAGTTGTTCAATTAAATAGAAAAAAAAGGAAATAACACTTGATTTGTTTGAGATAGAAAAAAAGACACAGAACAAAATACAAAAAATGGCCACAACCAGTATACCACAAAGAAATGGAATGCATGTAAATTATTGTTTATATAATTAGTCATGGCCATTAAACTATAATATATATAGCAAACAAGATGAGGTATTCCTTGCAACAATGTCATCAGTGACAAAGAAAATAAATCGGGCAGCTCAAATCTGTCCCGCAAAATCATAATACTTTATTGGAAAACACAAGAAAATTCTGATGCTGTATTACCCAGCACCTAATACTTTCTGAAAAAAATCAAGTGATTCTTGCACCTACTGTGACAGTTTCAAAAAAAAACAAAACAAGAGTCCATACAGATCATCGAGAAAAACGGAGAGGAAGCGGAAAGACGTCAGCCGTCCTCTGTCAGATCCAGACGAGTAGCGACGTCCGTGACTAGCATACTGAGTTCCACCGTCCAGGAATTTCATTCCTCCAAATACTTGGCCACAACGAGATCACTGTGACATTTTGTTTTCTCATTATTATGTCTCAAAAAACAGAAAAAAAAAATAGAATGATTTGTAGTTTTTAACTGCAAATCATCCATATATTGATTTTTTTTTTTAATGTGCTGATAGGCGGTGAAAAAAGGAAGTCCTGTCTTCCACTAATACTTTTTGTTTGATGTCATGTGGGGCCACACTGTCATGGCGTCTACCCTGCATGAATGTCCTGTATATGGGCTCCCATACTTTCCATGCTGCCGTGTAGAGGTGGGCTCTGGGTAGAACTCATTGACATTGCGTGCGGGCTCATGCCCGGAGCACCGTGGCCCATCATCATGTGGTGTGGGTGGCCGGGTATTAACATAGCTTGTGAGTGTACGGGCGGACGTAACTGCGACATTTGGGAATAAGAACTGCTGCCACTGACAGGGGGTGCTCCGTACATATCACCCATGCCCTGGACGCCTAGCATGTCGTATCGCTGTGAGCCGTCCATGTGGTGATAGCCTGCTTTCATTGGATCATACATGTCTGCGCCTGGCCTACCTTGCAGCACTGAAAAATCAAATTGCAAACTGTTAACTACCAAAGCAAATTAGAAATTCCAAATATTGATTCAAAGTACAGTTAAACCTGCTTATCTAAACACCACTAATTCTAAACATATTGGCCCAATTACATAATTTTCCAGTAAAACAACATTTTAAACATCTGAATTTAGTACAAGAGACACAAGTTTTCATGGTATTTGAAAAGATTTTGGAATACACAAGATCTGGATTAGTCAAGGTTGACTGTATTTTTACACTGTCATATTCAAAGTTCACTTACTGTGTGAGCCCATGTGGGCCATTGCCTGCCCATCCCAGCCCATGCTATCAGGACTGTATCCCCCATGACCTCCCGGAGCTGTAAAGAGATAAGACTGTTTACTATCAGCCAGCCTGGGTATTTACTTTTTAGGCAGGTAAAAATGCAGATAATAATTAGGTCATGAAGCTATATCTAGAGAGTATATAATGTACTGTAGGTAAATAGTCTAGGGTTATCAAAGGCTAGAAACTATACAAACAAAAGGTGCAGAGCCTCACATCTCATTAGCTACATCTAAACCAAAATTAGCAAGATTAGAAATATATTTAAAATGAGCTAAAAGAGATCTTCAAAGAAAACTTATTTTACTGATGAATAATTCTTTTAGCAGGTACATGCTAAATGTGCTTTCATATCATGCAATATCTTTCTCTGTTTGCCATATTTACATCAGCTCTCAAGATTAATCCATATTAAGCTCCCAATAGGTTTGCCATGCATAGAGGAATAAAGCCTTAACTAGCATGCAATGTATGGATGTCAAGTGTTGATATGATCAAAAGCATGCATATTAACTGTGGAGGTGAAAGTCTTCTCTGATTGGTCAATCCCACCAGGTCATGTGACTTTGTCTGATTCAGCAGCCCCAAAAAAGCCAAACAATGGCTGCCGAATTCAAAAAAAAAAATGCATTCCAGAAATTTGCGAAAGACACCAAATTTTTTAGTTTCTTGTCGCAATGACTTGTTCTCTTTTTATCTTTGTTTCCATTTTGCCAAGTTTCCAGCCACCAGTGTCAAAGACATCGTTACCGTGGTTACCTGGCGAGATAGCGGGAGGAGACTGACTTGTTGAAGACTTACACCTCCGAGATTTGAACACAGTAACAACAGGTGACTTGCCTGCTCGATTTGATTGGTCAATCATCGGTTGAACAATTCTTCTCCTTGCATTTATGAACCTATAAAAAGAATATAACAATGTCAGAAATCTATCAGTTCATGTCAGGTGTGCAATAAAAGGGTTAAAGCCTCTTTTTGTGCAAAAACACTCAATATGTCTTCCCCATGAAAATTCTTCACACAAACAATGATTGGGTTTTACAGTTGCATCTGGTCTATTAAGCAGATCATAAAGGTCTTAGCAAAAGAGAGGTGAGCATCCCTGTTCAGCCTCACCTCAACTCATAAACTACAAAAAATATATAAATATAGCAGACCAAAAACATTGAGTCAGATCCTCTAGGAATGGGGAGAAATATGAGGACAGTCTGTCATTATTTGAAGAGGTAGTGATTTACAACCAGGGCGATGAAATGGCGCCAAGAAACCAGGCACAAAGCAATCATTTGCCAAAGTCTGCGACTGAGAGCCGATTATCAGCTGACCTTTGACCCTTCAGTATCAACACAAGAATGATATTTGCTTTTCAAATGGCAATCTGATACAATGTTTAGTTATTTGGCTTCCTTTTTGCTCTCCCTGTGAAAATGAGGAAAGAGAGAAAAAAAATTCGTTTCAAAATTTGGAGAGAAAAAAAATGCACTGGAGAAGTTTGGCATGATCAAGTTTTTAGGTTGGAAATGAAATGAATCTGTAGATTTTATGAGCGCTATCAGTTTTTTTGGTTGAAAACCTTCTTCCTCTTTGCTCATTATAAAGCTAAGTAAAAAAAAATAAAAGATGGCAAGGCTGAAGTAAGGTGTCTACAGCATCAGATAACGGCTGCACCATGCTTTCCTGATTAAACCAAACACATAAAAAGCTGACGTGACCGCAGATTCCTTAATCCCTTCTGACAGGAATTGTAACATACTCCCCCTACCTCCAGGGTTAAAATCGCTACAGTTACCATCAAAATCCCAATCTGGTAACCACCCATGACAGTTACAACTAAGGCACTTGAGACCCAAATCCTTCCCCAAGCACTTGGATAACTCGGATTTCAATTCCCTGTCTGGCCAAAGGACCTTACTGACAGTGAGACAAATTACAATACATGTACCTACACTGGGTCACCAATTCGCCAAAAATCATGTCAAATATCTTAGTAAGCCAAAATAATCTCTTTTCCACAAAAGGGACTACATGACTCTACCATATGATAATTTTACAAATCCCATAATTCAAAAACCTGAAAACTTAATTCGAAACCATAGGATTTACAAATCCCATAATTCGAAAACCAGAAACCTGATTCAAAACCATAGGAAAACCTGTCAATACCATATTTATTTCCTCCTGGCCATTTGATTACAGAGAGAGTGACAGTTGTTTGTTTGTGTGTTGACGCTGTTACCTATATCATAAACACAGGGAGGGGATTGTCAACTTTTCATTTAGCCATCATACTGCGTTAGGGACCCGACACCCTGCGTTTCAATATCCTTTATAAAGTCCTCTTAACAAGCCGACTAATGAGTTAATGGGATCTGTCACTGTTCAAAGCTTTCTGACATATAACATTAGCTCAAGTCACCAGACTGCAAATTAATTAACGGCAAAAGCAGAGAAACTCAACTGTTCTGTGGGTTCGATTTGTGATACATTAGGGGTGAAAATTCTGTGAAATACAGAAAACCAAAAAAAAAGTACTTGTAAATGGTTACATGTGTATAGCATTGGGAGTTTATCTTGAGAAACAAGTGTATCTGAAGTTGTTGATCCAAAACTGTGAACCACTCTCATCTCAACACCCCCAGTCTGAAATTCACCAGAACCCCCTTTTTTTCTGCCGACAGACATTGCAAAAATAGATTACTGTGCCAATTGCAAATGAATTAATTCAGACGTTTAAATTTCACCACCACATAAATAAGATCTGCATATAAGTTTCAATGAAGGACAAAAACTGTTGACAGATCTAATGTCGTTTGTCATTCCTTAACTACCCATGTAAAAATTGTCATTGTCCAAAGCCTTCTTAAATTTCTGTTACAAAACTTGGCAATCAGTGACTGTCACTGTCATGTGCACTTTCTCGTGCAAGGAATAGAAAAGGCAAGCCCTATAGCCCATGCAGAGCTGTCAAAGTCACTAAACTCCTATCAAGGTGAAAAATCAGACAAAATTCCATGTGAACTTTTCCGATCCATTGGATCCACATCGGAATCCGTAGTTTCACCCACATGACCTCCCACCAGGTCCCGGATAGTAGCCCAGAATGCACCACCCCATCATCTGATTCATGGATTAATAACGTGTCGTTCCGATAAACATCGCATCCTGCCCTGCGCCTTTTCTTGTCTTCCTCTCACTTGCTCAATTAGAAGGTCCCCATGCTTTTCTATGAAGACTCCGCAAAAACTAGATCAGCGATTTTCACTTTACATGGCTGGCCTGTCAGCTCTTGTTGTGTTCGATCGGGCAGTGAAGCATGCCTATCTGATTTTCTCCCCTTTTGTACTCTGTGTGCCTGGAGGCCAGTGACTATTTAGAGGAAAACAATCACACTGTCTAATGCTCTAACCCATGTCATTATCAATTTACATCAGCCCATTGTTTCTATAATCATACTTAATGCATACCTAATCCGCACAATCATTCCGAAAATTAAGGTTAAAAACAGACCTCCCATACCAGGCAAATCAATGGAGAGAAAGGCTTACTTAATAGCAGTGCCGGGCAGTTCTCCCTCGAAAAGGTTACTTACTTGCATTTTGGTGATATTTGTGCTATTTTCACTGAAATGAAGCTGAGAATGATAGATGAATTTAATTATCTTCATCAAATATTGTTTTTGGTGATTATCTATAGGGAATAACTGATATGGCCGCTGGATGGAGTAAAATTATGTCAATGAACAATTAATAGCACAACAGCTCCGTTATCTGCCATTCAATCGCGTATATACAGATTTCTGAGATCTATGAGTTATCCCCCTTACTGATTTTAAAATTTTTTTATCCCATAATTCAATTAAATTGAGCTAAAAACAAAAATTCCGAAAATGATGGTAGATTATCCTCAGTATTTGTCACTATTCGCTCTTGTTAAACGTGCCACATCATTAATTTTTACTTCATAATGTGATGGGAGGGGGCAGAGCTTTTTCCATCTTATCAACCAATCTCTCTCACAAAATATCGAATTCTGGCACAGCAATTAAATGCTGCTATACTTCGATGATAGACTTCTCCTGCTCAACGGCAAAAAAAAAAAAAATGAATCATAGACAAGCAATCTGATTTTAAACAGCAAGGCTGGCATTTATGGGGGAACGCTCAAACCTAAAAAAAAATCCCAACTGAAGCCCAGCGTGAGTTAGACCTATACTCTAACCTTATCGCAGCTGATAAGGAGGCAGTACCATTCACTTCAACCTCATCCTGTTAAACAGCTAGCATCGTGTCCCTAGTTTCACATAATATCAGACAAGAAATTTTGGCAGAAATGATTTATGAATAACCATATCAAAAATCTTTGGTGGTGGGCCGTCAAATCGGCCATTATCTTGCCTACCATACTGTACAAATCTCTTTAACTGTGCAAAAACAAAGGCATATCGCTTTCCGCATCCCCCATTGGCCAAGTCTAACTCTCGTCATATTACACAATTAAACTTACGAAAAAAAAACGTTTTGTATATATTTTACATTATCCACTTATACTTACATAAATATTGACTCTAAAAATATTCTCAGGACAGAAATAACACACTATTCTCTTTCCCTTGTCATGATTCTTATTTCAATTAAAAAAACACTTAAATAGCTGCAGAGTCAAGAAAATTAAATTGATTTCACTAAATAATTTGATTAGCATTAGATTAACCAGAATTTGCAGATAGAAAAAAAATATGTGCAAAAATCTATCCCAAAAATATTATTTTCCGTAATTTCATACAGCGTCATATGCCCACCACCCACCGATTGCGGAATGTGCCTAACACAGTTTCTTCTTACACATCTTGAGCACACCTGAAGACCATGAATGACGGAAAAATCAGCTGAGAAGACAACCCCCCAATGCTGAAAAACGGCCATTGCTCTCCGAAATCAAAAATCTTGATGGCGAAATCAGGCATTCCCAGAAGAATGGGATACCTGACATTTGTGATGTAACATATTTCTGATGTGAGTTGACGTGCCTAAGTTTTCTACATTCGATTAACGCTGATTCTCTGACACGAACAACACTCCAGCATGCACAGGCTCTCAATATTCCACTTATCCCCCATGTTGAAAATCCTGCCGACATAACAGCCTCTAGGTGGATGCGAATTAAAACTCTTATTGTCATAACAATCTTCTACATACTAACAAGCTACGTATAAAAAAAACTTGCCGTCATCTTGCAAAAAAAGAAAAATAAAAAAAAAATCATGAATAACTGCTGCGTTATATGCCATGTATATATCAGCCATGAGGGAACACTTAGGACTTAAAATCAAAAATATATTTCAAGTGTTTCATTCTGCCCCTCATTAATGGACACAAAAGGGTCACTCCAACTTCCCTATCCACTCAGCTTAATCAGTTTTTGATTAGCCCCCAAAAAACCAAAAAAGCATTTAGCACATTCATCGCAAAACACTCTGCTCATAAAATTGTTTCTGGAAGTTAAAATTCAACATAAAACTGCCAATAGCAGAAGGACACACTCCGGTTCCGTTAATGGTGAATCGCCGTAAATAACATAACCATGGCAGCTTTGTAGTCATTTAGTTGCCATAGATATCAAATTAAATTTCAGAACAAAAAATAAAAATCTAAAATAAATCAAAAGAAGATCCACCATGATAAAAGTCTCGGCCATATGTGTCAGCTACAAAAGAGTTAAAAAGGGAGGCCACTCTTCATTGTCAGTGTAACATGAAATGACTGGAGAACTCATCAAAAGATCCACCATCTCAAATTTTCTGAATCATTAGCTCAACTGATAACATAACAGTATGCAAAAATATATAGTTACAGGGAATCAGTATTGCATAGCCTTCTAAATGTGTTCCCCAGGTCATTTA